ACCTCCATTTATAAGTTGATTTCTGACTCCCTGGGCAACTTAAAGTATTTCACAGGAGCTGAGAATGTTTTCACTACTCTTGGGTTTTAGCTGCTGTTGAGGGCAACGGCTGTAAATTGTCTGTAAATTCTGACCACACCGGGTTCATGAACACGTTTACACACAAGCCATGGGCAACACTCGCCATGGGCGCTCCCGTCCGGTGCTCGGAGATGGTGCCCTCACCTCAGACAAACATAGCGCAGAGACCCACAGGCATGGGAAGGTGCAAAGCGTCTATACTAATCAGGAAACATTTATACACCTAATATTTTTACTTCTAAGGGGAGAAAAAAAGGACAAGATAACCATAAATATGCTCAACCTCTTAGAAATCTTTCCATACCTATACCTATGTGCCTGTATTTACAGAGTTTATATACTATAAATAATGAAAGACAAAAAAGTGAACCAGTCATTGCTCATCAGTATCATGTCAGCAATGACTAGGGAACTAGCGGTGGTTATCCTGGAGATCCCTATGGGCAGCTGAGAGGCACCATTTCCGCTTCCTCTGTCCACACTGCCACCGCGGGCACTTACCTGCCCTGAACACGACCCTTTGCACAGCTGCATTAGGGGCCCACAAACCTAGTCAAGGTCCATGCTTCACAATTAAGTTATAGTAATGAAATGAATGCTGCCTCAGTCACAGTCAGATGACAAAATACCATGATTCAGAGTAACGGATGAAGCCACACTGAGCGATCAGGCCGTGTCTGCTGGCCCACAGGCAGATCAGCAGGGTGGAACATGGGGCACTGAGTTCTATAGAAAGGTGAGGGTGCCATCCCAAATTCTGGCTGAGGGCAGAAGCGGGTAGATTCCATTGGCTTCAGTCCATTGACAAGAAGCTTCCACTCTATTTCTTCTTTTCAGATGCTAATTAAATGATTTGGCACTAAATAAAATACAATTTTATATTTATATTAGATGTATTATAATAGTCTATGTGAAACGAAATTCCATAATAATTATGACTGAGCCAAGAGTAATCCCAACTACTTCTAAAAAGAGTTTGGCTGTAAGCATTAGCCTCAAGTTCCCTTTGAGGCCAGCAGATGTAGCTGTGAATTAAAGGAGGGAAGCCAAGTGCTCCAGCTCAGCCGCTAGATGGCGCCTATGTTTGTGAACTGGGTTTATGGGAGATTTCATACAATACAAAGTAGTTCCCAACAATTTGACACTGGAATTAATTTTGATTTCCCTGTATTTATTAGAATGGCTATCTCAATTATTCACTGAGTGCACAGTCCTGGGATATTTCTACTTAACATTTTCTGATGTTTCCCTAATGATAAAGATGACATTTCCCAAGAAAAGGCAGTAAAGTGTAATACGAGTTAATTACTGGACTCAGGACAACTTCAGTTATCATCAAATCTCTCTGAGCTGCAGATCTCTAAATGCAGAGCTAAAAATACACCACATTGCTTTCCACAAGCCTCGGGGCAGAGTCATATAACATGAATTTGCTGAAAAGGTCGACACATAAGGCTTTGAACCTAAGCCTTTCCATGGCAATAGAGTCCTGCTTGGGTAGGCCCACGAATGCCTTCTGAATGAATACAGAAAGAAGTACGGCTGCTTTCGAAAAGATGTGCCCCTGAAAATGTGAGAGAGGGCCATTTCTCTGCGAGACGTCTCAAATGTGGACATCAAACTGATATGCCTAATGAGCAGTAGGGAGGGAGAGGGTGTATTTTGCATTCTCTTTTTAGTTAAATAAATGAAGATGAAATATAAAAAGATTCTAAGATTCCTTATATTCAACAGTGCCAATTAGAAAAATAGCTTTTTCTCCCCCAGATGTTCTATGTAGGCAATAATCTTCTGCAGGGTGGCATAAAATGAGAAGTTCACATTCAAGAAACCGTGTTCTAGAAATGGTCCAAAAAACCCCAAATGCTCAAGGATATCATTTCATTTAAATGAATCTAATTTTGTTGTTCTATGACAATTTGGTTTATTTCATTATGCCCATTCCACATCACAGAGTATTCATACTTTCAAATACCTGAAAACTTCACCACTCAGCTGTGACTAACTGCTAACCTCTGGAAACATCACCTGTTAGTACCATGCAGTCAATGTAATGTGCTACAGATCATCATTTTTATAGAAACTGAAAGCTTAGTAGCTTTATTATGAAGTATTTCATGCCACCCCGAGTAGACTTCATATGTAGCTAAGGAAGTTTTGTGAACTCCTAGAAATAGCACAAATTAATAAAAGTAAAATCTAGCGATAGTAATGTTGTTGAAGGAATACATATTTAAGTAAAAAATTGACTCAGATACCCATAATTCATTCACATATTTCTGCCAGACATATTTTCTCCCAGTTTCTTTTACTTGCTTTCAAATAACTTATATCATACATAGGCATGAGCCTTGTTCTGCACTTACATTATTCCCTAATAACTTTTCTGTTGCAGATGACAGGTTAAAAGGTTTCTCCTGTAGGCGAGAAGAATGGCTATTACTCCCACATCCCCCATTTGTATTTTAACTAATTTATTTTTAATTGTATTTTTTTTAATAGAGGCATGTTTTTATTTATTTGTTTGTTTGTTTGTTTTGTTTATACATGCACTGGGTACAGTCAGAAGCACGGGAGGGTGAGAGAATTCACCAGAGCCAGAGCGGGGAGCAGAGCAGGCAGAAGGACCAAAGTACACTGCTGAGGGGAGCAGCGGGCGGCAGGAGAGGTCTGTGCGCCATGTGGGACCCTCCTCTGGTGGCAGGGGAGCAGCCGGGGATCGAACCGGCGCCGCAGAGGCCGCGGGCAGCTTCGCAACCCAACGCTCAACCGCTGCGCCACCGGGGAGGCCCTTAATTGTATTTTTTTTAATTGAGATATTGGTTTACAACACTACATACAACTTAGGAGTACAGAGAAGAGGCTTGCGCCTCTTCAGGTGTATGTTACTGCTCCATGCCCACCACCAAAGTACCCATCACTCTCCACCACCGTACATTAAAGAGAGAAAGAATGGCTGGCCCTGTACCAGACACAACAATCATGGAGTGGGGAGATGAGGCCCACCTGCGATACCCAGAAAGAAAGGTCAAATCTATGGGATCACATCACAGTCAAAACCAAATCTACCACCTTCTCTCACTCACCCTAGCCTCTTCCACTTACTCCTTCATTTCCCATCTTAGCTACAGGAGGAAAAGTTGGAAAAAAATCTAGACTCTGAAGATAATCAGACTTGGGTTGAAATCTTGACTTTACCAATTACAAACTGTGATCTTGGGGCAAGTGACTTAACCTTAGTCCAAATTTCCTCATTAAAAAAAAAAAAAAAAGAGGCTATTAATACCTGCCTCCAGTTATTGTGAAGATTAAACAATCTGTTGTCTAAAATGTTTGGTTCAGTGCCTAAAATAGAAGAAGAGATTTTATATATGTCAAAGTAAAATTGAGGTTAACAATAAAAATCATCAAAAAAAAAAATCAAAGATTTCCTAACATTTCCAAGTAATAATGTCATCATAAATAACGATCAGCCAGCAGTTGTTTCTAAAATAAAGGTGAGTCTGACGAGAAGAGCATCATGCTTGTCTGTCAGTAGACTGAGTGGAAGGTACATGTGCCTCTCTTTAGTGATGAATGAAACGCAGTAGCAGACCAGCGCCCCCTATCACTCCCGTAAGCATACACGCGAGCTGCTAGCTCTCCCTACTTAAAAAATCCTCTTGACCCCACTCCCCCTTACAGCCATGACCCCACGTCTTTTCAGTTTACAGAAAAACTCAAGACTTGGCTGTGTACACCGCCCCACGCTCACTGCCGCACTCCTGTAGGGTCCCCTCCACCAGCCCTTCCCCACTGAGGGCCACCATGGTGCGACTCAGCCATCTGTCAGTTCTCATCTCATGTGACCATCACCAGCGCACACCTCCTTGACACATTTTTTTTCACCCGGCATCCAAGTCACCATTCTCTGGCTTCTCCCTGCCTCTTTGTAGGGAAATCTTGGCTATTTTCTCCTCTAACCTCTAACCCTTGGCAGTGCCTGAGCACTCTCTACTTGGACCTCTTCCCTTTTCTCTCTCTAGTCACTGCCTTGGTGAGCTACCCTGGCCTCTTGGCTTTAAATCTGATCCACAGACTGGTGAGGAGCCTCAAATTTACATCCTCACCTCACAGGCCTCCCCTGAATTCCACAGCTCTGCATCTCCCTCCATTTTCTTGACTTTGCAACTGTATATGAGACTTCTCCAGTCCCTAACGGACCCCCTCCAACCATTTTCCAGTCACTCAGGCCAAAGCCTTGGAGATTCCTGACATTTTCTCTTACCCTTCACATCCAATCCCTGACAAATCCTTGTCGACTCCACCTTAAAAAATATGTTCAGAACCTCTTTTCATCAACTCCACTGCTGCCACCTTATCTAAACCACCACCAACTCTATAGGAAAAGCCTGACCCATAGAGCTTCCTACAGTAGTTTTTTTAAATAAAAGCTAATCATTCCAAATGTATTGCTTTGTAGCTCAGGGACACACACACGCTTTTAGGATTTTTCCCAATAATGTATAAACACATTAATCATTTAAATAATAATTTCAAAATGCTTTAAGTATTTTACAAGGATGTTTATATATATATATATATATATATATATATACATTCATGTTAAACTGCAGAGAAAGTTGTTCCTAATTAAATAATTTTATTGAACAGGCAGCTATAGAGCCAATTTATAGAGAATGAATATTTGCTATCAATTAGTGGTTAATTATATTTGAGGTTTCACCACCTTCACCTATTTAAATTATATGATTTACCAGTAATGACAAGCAGCCTAGTTATTAGTATAAATCCAGTCACATTCTCTGTCATCACTTTCTGATGGTGAAAATAAAATATGCTAATTTGAAAAGCAGGAAGATTTAGATTACAAAAAGTAGAACATTCTAGACATCAATTGCAGGACTGAATTTACTTACACTGTGAACTCCCAGAGCCTTCCAGATGGCAAAGCTGATCACACCAACCCCACACCAGGCATACAGTGAGCCCCAACCCAGGGCTCGCAGGGCAAGGGAAGACCCACTCTCCGGCAAGGCTGCTGTGGCCATACTTCCCTGCAAGGAAGACAAAAAGGTTCAGGTAGAAATCATCAGCTGAGTAAGAAAAAATATTTGGGCAGTCTGAAACAAGTGACTGTGAGCCCCGTGACTTTGGGATGTCAGTGCTACCCAAGCTCAGAAACCAGCCTGCTGCTTGCAGGTGCACAGCTGCAAGTGTGTGCATGACTCATGCTTGGGTCACACCTTCTCTGACAAATATGTAAGGCACTGTGACAGAAGCTGTGCTGGGGACTCAAGAGACAGGTAAACAGAGCAACTTCCACCTGACCAAAGATGCAAGGGGGAGAGGGTGCTGAAGGGGAGGCAGACAGACCTACAAGTGAGTTATAATCCAAACAGGAATTGTGGTGGCAGAGTCTACTCAGACCTGGGACCAGAGCAAGGGGCCACTAGATCTGCTGCTGACTGTTGCAGGAAGGGGAGTTTTAATACAGAGGGCTTCCTAGAAGAGGCGAGTGAAATCTAAATTTGAGAAAAGATGAATGATACAGTGACAGAATGCTGCTTGGTCAGCTTCTATCTGCTGGTTCAATAGAAAAGTACGGGCTCCCACCCCTCTAGCAGAGAACTGCCAATATGGCAGCCTGGAAATATGAGTGAAAGAAAATATTAAAATCAAGCTAAGGTTCACTGAGATAACAAAACAGGCCAGATGGTCCCAAAAGGAACAAACAAAAAGGGTGGTTAAATGTATTACCAACTGGGGAAAGGGATTTAGGCAATGTCGGGGGAGAATGTTAACCCCACAGTCAGTGAAACAAAACAAGGGGGAGGGACTTACATAGTAGGTATAAAAACTAAATGGAAATTTGTTTTGGGATGCCTGGTTATCTTATGCTTTGGCGCCCACTCTTGCAAGAATGTTGAATCAAGTCTTGCTTCTGGCTGTTCTGCCAGTCTCTTTGCACTTGGACAGGTGAGGACAGGTTTCTCACATACAGGTCATCGTGAGGACTTTGAAATATATATGAAAATGGCACAAAGAAAGTCAGCTTATGGCAGCTACTGAGAAACTAACAGATGAACAGTGACCCTCCATCCACGTTTCAAGGCACAGTATTAAGGTAACAATCAACATTTATAATGATTGAACAACATTCTGACTATCAGCATATGAACCTGACTAGAGAATTAAAAATGAAATGTATCCTTCATAAAGGAGTGACCGCCCCATCACGGAAACATGGGTGGGGACGGTGAAGGGGCTTTAAAAAAACAAAGATAGGGCCTCTCCGGTGGCGCAGCGGATTGAGTGCAGCGCTGTGAAACTGTACGCAGCCTCTGCAGCACCGGTTTGATTCCAGGCCAGCCAGGAAGATTCCCACATGGCTCAACAGACCTCTCCTGTCTCACCCGCTGCTCCCCTCAGCAGCGTACCTTGGTCCTTCTGCCTGTTCTGCTCCCTGTGCTATCTCTGGTGAATCCTCTCACCCTCCCGCACCTCTGGCCTGTACCCCAGTGCTTATATAAATAAATACATCTTTAAAAAAATAAAATAAAAAGACAAAGACACTGGGAAGGACAGTGATCCAGATTTTTAATCTCTTCCGGGTCTATTATTTGGAAACTTAAAATGTTAGCTGCAGCATATTTTCGTTGAAAAATATAACCCTGAAATGGAAACTAAAGATACTCCTCCCGAACACTGGTCAAATGCTTACTAGATGACAGGTTAGGGTCTACTCATTCAGGTTAGGAGGAGCTCATCATAAAAAGCAAACAACAGCAAACAACTGGGGCCTCCCTGGTGGCGTAAGGGGTTAAGACACAACCTGTGAAGCTGTCCACAGCCAATGCAGCACGAGTTTGATCCCCTGGCTGGCCAGGGAGTTACCCACATGGCGCAGCAGACCTCTCCTGACTCGCCTGCTACTCCCCTCAGCAGTGTATTGCAGTAGATCCGCCTGTTCTGTTCCCCACTCTGTCTCTGGTGAATCCTCTCACCCCCCACACCTCTGGCCTGTATCCCAGCTCTTGTATGCATAAATAAATAAATCTTTTTTTTGAAAAAAGCAAACAACAAATAATAAGGGTCTCACAAGTATAAAGGGGGCAAAGTAATGTTTTTAAGAATGTTGATATCTTATAGATGGCGAGCTCCTTGTTCAGATCGATGCTGAATGCATAAAGCTGCACAAGCAGCATTCAGACTAGTTACAGTGATGAATTATATGGTCTGATCAGGAGGACCAAAGCCAAGTGTTTCCTTACTTCACTGCTAAGTGGCCACCAGTCTTATTTTTAGGTAAGACTGCAGGACTGCAATCTCCCCGGGAGTCAGTATTTCCAAATACTGTATCACTGTTAGTGATTTTATTAATGCTCCCTTACTAAATGCTAAGCATGTTACTCCTATGAATTTATCCCCCATTTTACTTATGAGGACACTAATGTAGAGAGACTTGCTCAAGGTTTCAGGCTATAAAAGCTGAACACATCAGCAGTGGGGTCTCTCAGGTTGGTATGATCTCACTGCTTCAACCTTCTTATGCATGATGGCTTTTTTTTAAGCTACACAATGAAGAAATGTCCTGCCTGCCAGTATAGTGTGGTGACCCTGCCTTCACCATGCCTTAAAAAGCACCCTCCAACACTATACAAGGCATGTGTGGTCTGATTTTCTAACATAAGACAGAATGGAAAAGTTAGGTATGTGCCTTTTTTGCAAGACAAAATCCCTGCCATTCAACAGATTCTCAGAAAGATCTGTGGTCCAAAAGTTGACACGGTAACTGGGGCTCAAATATTTCATGTTAAAGCATGACTATCAGCCAGATTTTACTTATTTCTGCCACAACATCTACTTCTACCCTGAAATAACAGAGGGGGAAAATGACCACCAGGCTTACTACAGTGACCTGGGACATTCCATATAAGCCCTAAGTATTCCAAGGGGTTCCAGATGCACTTCGAATGTGATCTATTGCCATTCCAGTACTCATAATGCTTGAGTATGAGTATTAGATCATTAAAGATAAATATAAATGGAATGGGAATTTGACAGGTTTCTGATTTTTCATAGAACACTATTTTCCCAAAGTAAACAAACTGTAATTATACAGCTATTTGTATGAATATTTAATATTTCTCTTCCACATTGGACACTAACTTCCTGCGGGATAGATATGTTCTATTCTTTTTTGGATCTTTTGCACCTAGCTAGCACAGTGCGTGACACAGAAAACATACTGAGGGTAGCCTCTGTTAAATTAATGGCTAAATAATCCAAATGGGGTGGGGAGGACAGGTAAATGTGAAGACTATTTTCCATCAATTGGGAACACGAGGAAGCTGTGACTAAAGCAGAGAGCCTACTCATTCATGCTCATGAAATAAGAATTTTCTGCCTTAAATAGTTTACATTTAACCAAAATTTATTCTTATTCAATGTGGCAGGCACTTTTCTAGGGTGTGTACAAGCATACCTGGTCTCTGCTTTCAAGGAGCTGACCTGTTTTTCAGAGATACTAGGATGCAAAGACACACCGGGACTTCAACATTTTAACACCTCTGAGATAAAATGCCTCCTGCAATCAGTGAGTTTAACAGGTATCATTTTTCTGTTTCCCAATAGTACACAAAATATTGGTGCTCTTTACAACTGCCAGTGAATCACCTACATTTAGATTTGAAGTCACGCTGAGCGTAAGAAGTGTACTGGACAAGCTTTTAGTCTTGTTCTGCTAACGTGTAAGAAAGCAAGTAATTAATTACAGTAGTCCCCTTCCATTCCCCCTCCCCCAAAGGAGAATATGCCCCAAGTCCTCAGTGGATGAAACTAATGGGGGCAAGCTCTCCCAAGGTCGCACTCTCTCTCTCTCATTTAGTACTATTTTTTCTTATAAATACATACCAATGATAAAGTTCAATTTATAAATTAGGCACAAGAGATTAACAATAATCTTGCAGGTAATACTGCAAGTAAAATCTCAGATAAGAGAGGACTACTGTACTTCTTTTAGGCTGCTCATTAATGTGCATGAGGCTTGTACAGGTTTACTACTATGAAAAGGCTTCAACAGTTGCTTCACTTCTCCCATGTTAAGCAGCTGCCATTCATTTGTAAACCACAACAACGCTGTGTATACACTTGGTGTCACAAACCTTATTGAACCATTCAGGGCTTTTCTTTTTAGCCAGTGATAATGTTGTGCCAAATCCGGCCAGCATGCCCGCTGCAGCGACGGTACCGAGGAAAAGTCCACCTGCCGAGAGTTCGGGGGGGGGGGGGAGGTGGTAGCGCATGGACGGTGGGAGAGATTGAAGAGAAGAAAACAAAAACCTTAAATTAAAAAGAGGTAGACTAGTTTCAGACACGCACGATTCAAATTACATCTAAAATCACTTATATTATTTTTAGCAGTTCTTGCCAAGGGCAAAGGGTAACGCTGTGAAGCCTGCGCGGCCTCAGGCCCGACGGTTCCGAGGTCGCGCAGAGGCGCCTCCCGAGTGGCGGGGCGAGGACCCGTGTCCCGTCCCGATCCCCTCGTTCGGAGGCGCGAAGTTTCCCCCGGGCGGGAAAAAGGAGATCGTGGGCTTCAGAGACGGGAGGGCCCGCGGGGCACCGCGGGCGGGACGGGGCGAGGAGGTGCTCAGGCCCGGGGAGCCCCGCCCGCCGCCCGCCCGTGGGCCACACTCGCGCGCGCCCGGCTCGGGTCGTCAAGGGCGGGCTTGGGGAGGAGGCTAAGCAGGGTCCCGGCCCGGCTCGCCCGGACAGGCCGCCGCGGCTCAGCACACCGCACCTTTGACCAGGAACAGGGGGTCTTCGGCGGGCGCCGGGCGCTCCAGCCCCGGCGCCCGCTCCCCCGCGCCAGGGCCCGCCGTCTCCATCTTTATAAACCTGCTCCACTGCGTCCAGCGCCAAGTGGGCCCGGGTGGCAGCAACAGCAAGGCAGAGCAGAAAGGTTCCGCTGCCCCCGCCCGCTGTGCCACCGCATCATCGGTCCGGCGCTCGGCCGCCGTCTCCTCCCCGCCCGCCGCGCAGGGACGGGCGCGGCCGCACCCCGGGGCGCGGCCCTCGGAGACTGTCTCCCCCAGAGCGCCCTTTCTCTGCTCCGAGGTGCTGATCGCTGCGCTTGAATGCTTTGTTTATCCGAAACGATGTCAGCCTCGACTCTAGGGGGCGCCGAGGCGTCGCAGATGGCGCCGGAGCCGCGGCCCGGGATCGCAGCGCGGGCCCCACAGGCCGACCCCGGAGTCGTCCCTGGCCGTCCCCGGGCGCCTCCAAAGCCGTGCCTGTGGGTGAAAGGGTTTACCCCGGGAGGGGAGCAGCCCCCTCGCGGCGACGCCTCCTGCCGGGCCCCGAGCCTCGGGGCAGCGGGGGCGGCGCGCGGGGGCGCGGGGCGCGGCCTGGGGGGGCGCGCGGCCCGGGGCGGCCCCTGCGGGGGGCGCTGGCGCCCGCGCTCCGCCTGGTCTTCGCAGGCTGGGAGGCGAGTTCGCAAACCGGGTGAACAGGAGGAGGCTGGTGGTCGCAGAGCAGCTTTTCAGCCAGTGGACTCCGACGCATGTCAGCGTTTACCCCGAGGCAAGGCTTCTGCCGTTTGTTCTTTCTGAAGAAGGAAAAATAAGCTGCGGACTTCCGAAGGATGAGGACGGAGAGCTGCACTTCTTCCTCAGGCCCCTGATTCTCAGTGTATTATCTGACCATGCGTAATAAATAAATGTTGGGGCCTCCCTGGTGGCGCAAGCGGTTAAGATGCAACCGATGAAGCTGTCCCCAGCTTCCGCAGTGCGAGTTGCACACCCCGCCGGCCAGGGAGCTACCCACATGGCACGGCAGACCTCTCCTGACTCGCCCACTGCTCCCCTCAGCAGTGTATTTCAGTCAATCTGCCTGTTCTGCTCCCCACTCTGTCTCTGGTGAATCCTCTCACCCCCTACACCTCTGGCCTGTACCCCAGCTCTTGTATGCATAAATAAATCAATCTTCAGAAAATAAATAAATAAATAAATAAATGTTGGATAAATGCATAAATGAATACATATGTTAGATGCAATTAATATTTCAAACCCAGGTGGAGATCCTAGACCTCAGAGTGGGCTTGGATTATTTAGGCTCTCCCTAGCTGTTTCCTTTTCTGTAAAATAAACGGATAGAATCTACCTCATAGGGTAGCGGTGAGAATTAAGCACAACAATGTCAATAAAGAGGTTAGCATAGTGCTTGGCAATATACACATTCCATATGCGTTAGCTCTAGTTCTTACCCCTTCATTTCCAGGGGTTGTTTTGCAGCATTGCCTATGGAGATTTTGAAAGATATAGATGTCCAGGGCCTATCACTGAGTATTACGGCTCTGAATGTCCAGGCAGGGCAGTTTACAAGTTCCATGGTACTTAGCAATAGCTCGTTAAGGTTAAGAACTCAACCAGGTTAAGAACTGCTGCTCTGTTCAAATTTCTGAGTGGATAATCACACAGAATTGACCTACACTTTGGATCCTCTGGAAGTAAAAGGCCCAAGACTATAAGGTCCTTTGAAAGGGCAAACGCTGTACTAACTTGTTGAATGTCATTAGGACTTAGCTCTTTTCCTTCTTTTTGAGAATAGCTGCTAACATTTATTGAGTGCTTTCTTATGTCTGGCATTGTGCTAAGTGTTTCAAATACATGGTCTCATGTAATCTTCTCTAACTCAGACTAACTTGCTCAACTCCCACGACTGCCTTGTGGCAGACCCAGGATCTCAAGCAGCTCAGTTTAAACCCTCACCATTGCCCAGTGGTTCTCATGCTTGGCCTTGTTCACTGGACTTACCCCGGAGGATGCTTTTGATTCCATGGGGCTTGTGCTGGGCCTGAGAATGTGCATGTCTCCCAGGTTCCCTGATGCAGCTGGTTCCATTTACTCTTACAGTGGACTCCTCTCAAAATCCACACTATCCTCTAGGACACTTAGAAGTCCACTATCTGCATGGTCTCACTCATAGCAGGAATCTAGAAAACCTAAACAAGGGACCAGGAAAAAGAATAACTATAATAAAGAAAAAATCAAAATCAACAAGCAACTATAAACCAGAGACACACTATGGGGGCTGGTGGGGAGAAGAGGGATTGGGGTCAAAATAAGGGGGGTGCAATTGTATGGGGAATATAATTTAAAAAAACTTTAAAAACAAAGTCTGCTATCCAAGACCGCTTAGAGAGAAAAAGTGCGATTCCTTAACTCTCCCTGACTTTGCAACCCTCCCCACCCAGATAAACACAGAACTTTTTTATTTGAAGGATTATATTATTATTTTCAATAAGGAACAAAAGAGTAAACTAGGCAAGTCACCATATCCAACACTCTAGAGTCTGTTTTCCTTTTGAGATCTAACTACAAATCCTGTGGACTCCTGTCTGCTTTTATTGCTAAGGATGAGGCTCACAATCCTCTACCTTCTTTCTAAATTCCCACAGTAAAGGACAGCTTTCCTCGCTCCCACATGTGAGGTCACCTCGCTAGTAAACAGAGGCCAGAAGAGACACTTAAAGCAAATCAGAGAGTGGCCTTTGCCTTAGATGAGCAATTTGCGTTTTGAAGATCCATGATAGAGACTCACAATAGGAGGACCTAAGAGAACGGAGAGCTTCTTGGGCCAGGTGAACTGGTTGGGAGAGGGGAGGGGAATTTTGGGGATTACAACCTCATTCCTCTGTGGCCTTTGCTCTGTCCCAGAACTTGGGCGACAATGATTCCAGGGTCCGAGAAACCTGCACTGTGTGAGGATGGGGCTCCCTGGCCCTGAAAAGAGAACCCCATTCAAGGTATCTCAAGGTAGAATACTTAAAGAAAAAACCTATTTTTTTTGTGGGACCCTCGCCGGTGGCCAGGGAACCCCCAAATCACATGTAGACTGGCTTCCATGGTAATGCATGAGACCAGGCCCCAACAGAGGAGTTGCAATCATTTGGAGCACAGTCTCCGGACAAGAGCATTGATTCTGAAGCAGTAAGAGGGAGCATTCGCAAGCATGGAAACCAGTGGCCAGAAAGTAGCAGAAGTTTGGTGCTCTGTGCAAAGTGATCAGGACTGGCGTTCTGATGGAAGCACCATTCCCTTTTAGGAAAATGTAATAGAAATGTCTTGGAAGCAAAAGAGGCTGCTGGGAAAGAAGTTCATCTGAGACAGACTGTTGCTATTTTGGTATTTGTTTTAGTCAGCTGAAAGTTCATACCAGTGATGCATCGACTACATACTTATTTCAAACCTTTTGGCTCCTGTAGATTCTGTTTCACATTTTGACAGTTAGAAACCTGTTAGTATTACAGTTCCCAGAATGTGGGTAGCCCTAGCTCTAGCTAGTTCCAAACACTGACAGGCTTTCACCCCATCTATTTTAAAAATATGTCTTCCGAGCATCAGTTTCCCCCTGTTGGAAATAGAAGGTTGGATTCTTTTTAAAATCTGTTAAGGGTCACCGATTGGCCATTCTTCTCACATTCTTCTCACTGTTGAAGATAGTTATCAAAAATTTGGTGCAGAAGTCTTTAAAAGTTATTGCTTACTTAAGAATGTGTGTAGAGAAAATGATCTGCCGATTTTATAGTGAATTATTGACATAGATCGCCTTGTAAGGAGGAGGAGGTAAAAACCGTTAACTGTATTTTTTCTACTTCCTGCTTAGTAAGCAAAATGTTGATCAAAGCAACCTTTTCTACAGATGTCTATCACATTTGAAAATTTTTAAATGAGGGATTTGTATTATTTTTGTGAAAAGAAAAAAAGGGAAGAAAAACTAGAAACATACTTTCAAAATGTCTCACCTTCTTTAAAAGGTGGGTTTCTATGTTGAAATAGAAATATTATGTAGGTTTCCAGAATAAGTCACCAAAGTCTTCAGCAGGATACTCAGCGACAAGACTCCTGGGAAGTGAGCAAAGAAGAAAAAGCGAGAGACTCATTCCTTAGGACAGACTCCGGGATGGCTGACAGCCCACAGGTATTTGTGTCCTGCCAGTGGGCTGCTATCAGAGCTGCTTGAATTCTTCCCAATGTCTGCTCTGGATTCCCAGAGTTATAGCTCCTTTGAAGTGCGCTACAATCAATAGAGTGTAATATAAATGGTGAGTGTGGTAATAATTCCTCTTGAGCGAGCTGAAGCGAGACTACCAAAGTTGAGTCTCATTACCCACTTCCGGTGCCTCATCACTTATCTCTAGAAATGTGTTCCATAACTGTCCCAGGTTGACTAATATAAGCCTGTCTTCATCATAGTAAATGAAGGTTGCATGATAAGTTCCTTCCTACCCATTTTTCTTTAATGTAGAGAGTCTTTCTTATCTCTTTCCAGCGAGGGTTGAATTGTTACTGTTAATTGTTACTGTTACTGTTAGATCAGACAGCTTTTTGAAGGCTGTTGTATTTCATAAACCACTAGATATTTTCTTATAAGAGAGGATGCATACAGCTTCCTTTCACTGTGTTCCTCTAACTCCACGGAAGGATCAAATATGGTCACATATGTTCGAGCATTTTATACAATAAATTGTCAAGTAGCCTGCCAATGTAAAGTAGCCTGCCACATTATTTTTAGCCTATGTGCACCCAGTCATAGAAAAATGTTTTAACATTGCCAGCGATAAAATAAATTCCCATCTATACATTCTTGTTCTGCCAGAGTTTTACGCTTCCCTCACATTTACTATTAAGATCTGTGACATCAACCACTTGGGTCGTTAATGCTTATTATGTGTATTGTGCTTATTTTATCTTTTCCTATTCTGATGTGCTAAAAATTATAAATTACAAAAATGACTTAAAAACAGGTTCTATCACATATATGATAAGAGAGTGGCTACATAATGAAACCCTTCTTGATCAAACACTATGTTTAGACTGATTTTAGTTTCATCCATTCAGCAAGTGTTCACTGAGCACCTATTAGGACCTTACAACCTTTCTGTGGTGAAATAAAG